TTTGGCATGTATGTAGGGTATCCTGTCTTAGCTCTTGTCCCCGTTGTTTCTTTTGGCATGTACGTGGGATATTCTGTCTTAGCTCTGGTCCCCGTCGATTCTTTTGGCATGTACGTTGGAGATACCGTTGGAGTTCCCTGCGATGCCGATGCTTTTTTATCGCCAACCAACTCGCTCGGCAATTCTCCCCATAGCGTCCCCGATTCAATTACGGTTGCCTCCTCGGGAGACTCGGGGATCAACTGCCTCGGGAATCTCTCATCGCCTCTATCGGTTTCCTTACGAGAACCAAGTTCATCCCGGTTGGAAATTTTGTTTCTCAAAGATACTCCTAGGTCGACTGCCGCGAAGCAACCGATTACAATCACGACGAGTGAGAGTTTCATTATAAGCGGAAGGYCACGATTAATTCGCTGTGTTTCTTATTCTGGTTTACCGTGCGTTTGGCAGATCGACGAGGAGGGAGTGCRAAATAAGTAATGAACTGGTTGGCATGTGAATTTTCTGACTCTACGGTACCGTACGGTACTGTACGAACCGTAGTACAGATAGCTGCAATGCCGATTTCAAAAAATAAATATGGTTTCAATTTGGAATTGGAATTGGAATAGAATCTTCTGTTGGGAGCAGATATAATTACGAGCGGCAATGATTGGCTTCTAATTGGAATCTTTCTTACAACTGTTCAGTTCAGCAGTTGACGTTAGATTCATACTAGTACCGCTGCTACACTCGCACTTGATTTCAATTATCAAAGATTACTTGTCTATARTAACGTATGATTCCACCCACAAGTAAGTATGTAAGTATCGTCTCTATGTTGTATCGTTGTCGCATTCAGAGCTCAACCCTCAAATTTCGTACCAAWACTGCGCATCATGGGAAATTAATACTTTACTTCGTACCCGAGATCGTCAGGCAGGGAATGGAATTCTGTTCTATCCGTTGGAACGGCTTACAAAGCTAAGCCTTCGGATGAAACTCTGCTCGGAGAACGATCCAGCGCCACCTCAAATAWTGAAATTTATGTCATCATCAAAAAATGCTTCTGATTGAATAAATCAATGATCAATAAAAACATCACGAAAACAGACGGGGCAGAACCTCTTTTTACCTAACCGATAGTTTATCTCTTTCGATACAGTGTCTGTCMCTTATCGCGAAAGATCCTACAATTTGCGTACATASAAGGATTAAATAATACTGTAGCACAGAGAGAGATCGTCAACAAGAATTTACCCAGAGCAAAAGYAGAAGCGAGTCTACAASAAAAGAAAACAACGACTTCATACGCGAAGACGAACATGTCTGCCCGAGAAACATGGGAGAGCCGAACGGCATTTATCCTGGCCGCTGTTGGCGCAGCGGTTGGATTCGGAAACGTGTGGAGATTCCCTGCTCTGGTCTACAAATTTGGTGGCGGTGCGTTTTTCATTCCGTATGTCCTGGCCCTGGTTATAGTCGGAATCCCGCTCTTGATCCATGAAATCGCCATGGGACAGCACCTGCAAAAATCAGAGATCGGTGTCCAGCACCATCTAAACAAACATACAAAGGGAGTCGGTGTCGGTTCCATCCTGGCGGGAATGATGGTTGCCACCTACTATGTTCCGCTGGTTTCGTGGTGCATCCGTGCTTTTTTTGAAAGTTTTGGGAAGATGCGAAACGATTGGGCCGGCATAGAAGGATCCGATGCCATGGAATACTTTTACCACACCGTAATTGGCCAATATACACTAGACGAGGATCAAAAGCCGACACGAATCGTGGTTGCCAATGTCTTTTACTTGGCATTTACGTGGGCTATCGTAGGATGCTGCCTCAGTTTTGGATTGAAATGGACGGGACGAGTGGCTTACGTCACTATGGGAATGCCAATACTGATGCTGTTTATTCTACTGATTCGAGCTTTGACCTTGCCGGGAGCCTCTAATGGAGTTCACCAATATTTTGCGGAATGGGACTGGTCGGTCCTGGTAGATAAACCCGATATTTGGTCTACGGCGGTCTCGCAAATCTTTTTCTCCATCGGTATCGCAGTAAGTATTTGAAAGTCTTTTGTTGATTCGCTTTTGCTATCCCTTGAAGAACTAAGCATCTCCCGACCAACAAATTACCAACTCACCTTCTATGGCTCTGTGATCACTATTCAGTTTGGAGTCATGACAGCGTTCGGATCACATTGCGACAAGAACGCGCCTGCCATTGAGAACAGCTTTATCATTGCGATCGCAAATTCAACCTTTTCAATTCTGAGTGGGGTGTGCCTGTTCAGCGTTATGGGGTACATGACTGAGCAAGAAAATGATTTCCGTGTGTACGCGGGCCCATCGTTGCTCTTTGGGGTCTATCCTGCGGCCCTGTCGACCATTCCAGGCGGCCTGCACTGGGTCCGCTTTTTGTTTCTGAACATGATTCTGTTAGGGTTGGACAGCGCCTTTGCCCTAGTGGAGGCCGTGGGCTCCCTCATTACCGATTCTCAATACGGACACGTTGTTACGAAGCCGATGGTGATCTCCGCCATCTGCGGGATCGGCTTCTTCGGTGGACTTCTCTATACGACTGATGCAGGGCTTCTCTTTTTGGACACAATCGATTTCTATGTCAATTTTGCTGTCTTGTTTCTGGGATTTGGCAAGGCCCTGAGTGCGGGATGGATATATGGCATGAAGCRCCAGATCGAAAACATTGGAAACAGATGGAACATTGCGTACGCGTATTTTGGGACGACGTTTGGAAGTTTTCTGTTCGCGTCGCTTGTGTGGTTCGGTGTCACGGGGGAAACCTTCTGGCTGGGATTTATTTCTCTGGTCGTGATTTATGGTAGCGGTGTTGCCTATTGTTTGCATAACCTGAAAGAACTGGTGGACGAAGACAAGAGCGTAAGCATGAGATTCTTGCGGAACGAGTTGCTAATGGGAAATATATTGGAGTTGCGCGACGAATTGTCGTCCTCCGTCGGACACATACCGTGGATCTGGGCGTTTCTAATGAAACACATCATTCCGCAGATTTTGTTGGTGCTATTTTTCAACCTTTTTTTCTCTGAAACAGCTTATGGTAAGTCGGAAAGATGCTTCGTGGAACGTTTTGTCCAGCGCTCCCACTATGTTGCAGCGGCAACTTTTCATTCAAACAAAGGTACCCGAGGGTAATCTCGCTCATCCTGCTTTATTGTAACAATCACCCAAATCTTTTCGATTAAACCTTCTTTTTGTCGTTTAAAAAACTTACAGGCACCATTGACTTTGGAAATTACAACGGCTACGAAACGTGGCCGTACCAGGCGGTAGGTGTGACATCGGCACTGGCCGTATTCGGTGCAGTTTTGGTTGGTGTCCTGGATTCCAAGATCTTTGATTGCTTGGTATCCGATAGCACTGACGATAGCAACAACGACGATTCGTGGGTGGACGTTGTAGAAATGAAAGAGCACGCTACGAGCGGAAACAACCAAAACAATTTGGAGGAAGTACGGGTGCCATCGCCCAGCTCGGAGTACAGCATCATGGACGACTTGGAAAACCCGAAAGAAGCGACCAAAGCCACCGCAAAGGGAGCCATTCTGGCATGACGGGAAAATAGCAAGAAAGAAAGAGATGGGTCCATTCGAATGCAAACAAGACGGGAAGACACAAAATGCTGCTCCCATTTGATGGAAGGCATTCAGAAGCGAGCGATTGTATTCCACTATGCGTGTGGTCAAACAACACATTGTACATWGCGAGAATKAAAAGAAGAGATCCACGGAGGAGGTTACTTAAAAACCAACATAAAATAATTATGGACCAACTTATTCACATTACTTTGGTTTGAATCGGCTTACTCCTTTCAAGAGACAGTGCCATACAGTAAGATTAATGTCTCGCCCAGCTCGCCATCGCATGATCTGCAGCACGCCAAGCGATTCCCAGTTCAACAACAATGATCAGCGCTTTAAACGGCGCAGTCTCCCAATCCTACTAAGGCGCAGGTTTTTGGGCAATAGTCCCACACACGCTTCTTCTTGAACTTCTTTCGGCACTTCTTCTTCAGCACTGTGTCTCGCCCAGCTCGCCATCTCATGGTCTGCAGCACGCCAGGCGATTCCCAGTTCAACAACAATGATCAGCGCTTTACAACCTTAGGCGCAGTCTCCCAATCCTACTAAGGCGCAGGTTTTYGGGCAGTAGTCCCAGACATGCTTATTCTTGAACTTCTTTCGGCACTTCTTCTTCATGGCCCGAACGAACTTCTTTTTGTGCAACTTGTTGGCATTCTTGGCCACCCATTTCTCACAAGATTTCTTTTTCTTGTTCTTGAAACGAAAGTCTTCGTCGTCAACACAACCAGAGGTAGTGG